GGGTTGATGATCTTATCCACTGGAAATGGACCGATGAATCTTGGGTGCTAGTTTCCTGGGGAAATCTTTCAGATTAATGTCACGTGTAGAAAGCCATACCTCTTGCCCCACCTTGTAAGATGGGGCGGATGAATGGTGTCGATCAGCAAATCGCTTGTTTTGTTGTGACGTCCTGAGTAATGCCCTCTGTGTTTGGTTCCAGATCCTGTGGCAACGGCGGATGTGATGCTGTACAGAAGGAACCAAAACTTCGATCTCTTCTCTGGGGAACAAAGGAGGGTTATAGCCAAGAGATGCTTCAAATGGAGAAAAACCGGTAGCAGATGAGGTATGACAGTTATGGGAGTATTCTACCCAAGGTAGGTATGTGCACCAGGAGGAAGGGTTGTTGTTGATGACGCATCTCAGTGTGGACTCCAACTCTTGATTGCACCTCTCGGACTGCCCATTGGATTGTGGGTGGTAACCAGAAGTGAGGCTGACTGTAGCACCCAATGCAGAACAAAAAGCTTTCCACACCTGAGAGATAAACTGGGGTCCACGGTCGGAGACAATATCAGASGGGATGCCATGAAGGCGAAAAACATTCTTAACCAAGAGTTGYGCAGTTTCCAGGGCTGTGGGTAGTTTCACCAATGGGACAAAATGAGCAGCTTTAGAAAATCTGTCAACAATAGTGAGGATGACCGTGTTACCTTCAGATGGAGGTAGACCCGTAACAAAATCCAYGGCGATATGGGACCAAGGGCGGGCAGGGATGGGCAGTGGACGTAAGAGACCGGCAGGTTGTTGGTTGCTGCTTTTATTAGTAGCACAGACAGTACAGGCAGTTACGAACTCTTTGATATCTTGATTCATGGATGACCACCAGAAGTATCTTTTAGCAAAACTAATCATGCGGGAGATGCCAGGGTGACAAGTAAAGCGATGATTGTGAATCCAGTCCAATACTTTACCAATAATAGCTTTGGGTACATATCTCGTACCAGGAGGTCCAGTTCCGGGATCRGGATCTGATTGCTGAGCCAGGCGAATGGTATTCTCAATGTCCCAAGTGAGAGTCCCCACGAAACAGGTGTTGGGTAGGATGGTGGCTTCTTTTTCAGGAGAGTCTGTAGGAGAGAAGAGTCTGGAAAGAGCATCTGATTTAACGTTTTTAGGTCCCGAGATGTAAGTAATAGTGAAGTTGAACCTGGTGAAAAATAGAGACCAACGGGCTTGTCTTGGATTTAATCGTTTTGCATTTTGGAGATAGGCTAAATTCTTGTGGTCAGTCATGATGATGAAAGGTGTTTCTGTACCTTCAAGCCAGTGTCTCCACTCCTCGAGAGCTAGTTTTATGGCCAGTAATTCCCGGTTCCCCACATCGTAGTTGACCTCAGCAGGTGATAGTCGTCGAGAAAAAAAAGGCACACGGATGTAATTTGTTACTGGTTTCAGATCTTTGTGAGAGCACTGCCCCTACTCCGAGATCTGAGGCATCAACTTCAACGAAGAATTGTTTTCTGGGATCAGGGTGACAAAGGATGGGAGCCTGCGAGAAACGAGCCTTTAACTCACCGAATGCGCTATCAGCCTCAGGAGTCCATGTGAAAGTTCGTAAAGTTGATGTGAGTTGGGTGAGAGGAGCAGCGATTCTGCTGTAGTCCCTGATGAACCGTCTGTAGAAATTGGCAAACCCCAAGAATCGTTGTAGCTGTCTGCGATCCTTAGGGATTGGCCACTCGGTTACTGCTTTGACTTTTTCGGGGTCGGTACGGAACTGGCCCCTCTCCAGGATGAAGCCTAGAAATGAAACTGAGGACACGTTGAACTCACACTTTTCGGCTTTTACAAAAAGTTGGTTCTCATACAGGCGCTGGAGAACTGCTTTAACATGTTGTTTGTGTTGTTCTTGATTGTGGGAGAAAATGAGGATATCATCAAGATAGACAAATACAAAGTCATTGAGAAAGTCTCTTAGCACGTCATTAATCAGAGCCTGAAAAACTGCAGGGG